AAAAAAATTAACATTTTTTTTCAATTTAAAAATCAGGGTAGTGTAGTGCCACTGACTGATGTCTTCAGGCCATTCTCAAAGGGGGGATATTAACATGTTCTTATGCACAGTAGACTTGTAAATGGGCTGATTTATCAATGTCATGCTCATACTGTGCCGGAACAGCATAGAGGGAACTGCTGCTTTTTCTTTCCTCATCCTTTCTATCGTCATTTTTCCTCTACTTCTTTCGTATGTTTGTCACTCTCTTGTGAGCTGCCATTCCCGGGGTGCCTTGACAGTCGAAGCAGACTCGGAGCTGTTGAGGCAAGAGAGGTGAGCACAGTAAGCCTGATTCCCCATTTGGACTTCTCTGTTGACATCCACCCCTTGGCGCTCATAATACTCATATGACCGTATGCGGTTGTCAGCGCCGTAAAACCTTACGAAAAACTAAAAAACACCCTCGTCTATACAATTTATATAATTTAGGAAACAGAGCATTTCAACCCTGTCAAACTGGGCAAGCTCAGGCTTAGTGGAATACAAGTTCCCTGCAGACAGGCAAGGAATAGGGTCGATAGGCCTACTGGAGAAAACCATTCTCCACATGGGAATCAAACTAAAGCCTTCTGTCCGTTGAAGCAAAGAGTCTTTCTTTCACTTCATCATGGATGCCTGTCCAGCTATAGTGGTGTATAGTGACACATCATTCAATCAAGTCTGAGGGCAAGTATAGTCGTATCTCCTCTAACAACCACCTGTCCAAGTCAATCACTTCCCACTTACCCCACATGCATTATAAAATATATTATTATAATATAATAAATAAGTATACTGTCCAAGACGACCACCTGTTAAGATGGCTATTTTCTCCAGAACAATGTATGGCCGTCTTGTACAGGTTCAACTATACATTACTCTCTCAAATACTTATTTACTTACAGCTAGTTGTGCAGATCAAATATTTCTGAAATACAATGTAAATAGATACAGGAGTTGCCTATCTTTTCTTTTTTTTAAAAAAGCTCTGTTGTAATGAGAGAACTTTACGTACCAGTATTAGATACAGTGGAACCTGCTCTAACAGCCACCTGTCCAAGACAATCACCTGTACAAATGACTGCTTTCTATATCCCTCCTTGGGATTGGGTTTTTTTTTATATATGACAGTGACACTGTCAAAGACATTTACCTGTCTGTTTGTTTTTGTAAAGTGTTTTACGGCGCTCGCAACTGCATAAGGTCATATGAGCGCACGGGACACACCTAATGTTTTCAGTTGATAGGAAATTTGGAATTTTGCCCGGGTGGCGGCCGAAGCCTACTCTTATCGATTTTAGACCACCAAGGGATTTTTAACGTGCGCAACTTGCACACGGGCCCTCCGAGATTTTTCGCCCTTGTCCGAGGAGGCTAGGTGTAGATCTTTCCTACCAGAAGATCAGGGGTGTAACAGAAAGACAGCAGTAAAGAGGAGCCAAGGAGTAGCAGTAGAAAGGCTGCAGAAGGAGTCAGGAGCCCAGAGGAGGGGCAAAGGAGGTGAGGGGGTGGGGGCAGAAAGTGGAAATGAAAGCAGACAACAGAACATTGCTAGAGAGCAGGAAAGGAGGTGAAAGGAGACAATTTTAGAGAAGAAAATGTTTCGGTCGCTACCTGGATTCGAACCCGGGACCTTTGAATGAGAGGCCAACACCTTAACCTCTAGGCCACGAGAGCCCCCTTCACTTGTCTAAGTCAACCTCCTTTCTCCTCGACAATGTTTGGTCATCTTGGACAATTTTGAATGTATTCATAAATGTTGCTTTCTGTGTGCTAATGATATAATTCTAAATGTGAGAATGCTATACACTCCTAATTTTATGACAGTGTTTGCTAGTTACAACAAAGATCTTGTCTATCATAATCACGCCCGACTTAATACTTTATTTGTCTGTCATCATCATGCCCGGCCAAAATTTTGAAGTTTTCAGTCTTAGCAAAGGCACAGTTGATTTTCTAGCTTTACTGTAGTCAGCTAATGAGTACAAATATCATGATTGAACAGATTTCGATGATGAAAATTAGACACTGTCAAAATTATAAAAATTGAAAGATTGGTTGCAGTCCGGTGTGACTGGTGTCAGACACAAAGCAGGGGATATCGGACAGAAATTACACATTTGATATAAAATATGGTACGGTATACAACTTATACCTATTCCTAGTATTAGTACTATTAGTTCTTCCTTTTTCTAATTTTATGGTGTTGATAATGTTCAATTTGTTAGAAAACGATAAATTTTGTCTGTCATCACCACAGCCGACCAAATCCAGTTGGGTCTTTTTATTTGCACAAACTACAATAAAACTTAAAGAGCAGTGATTTTGTAGCGTTGTTTTCTTATGTGTCAATGCTTGTACTTTTCCTTAGTGAAGTTTCATTGACTTCAGACCAAGTTTAACTTTGGGTCTTTGTGTAACAAAATTGGGAGCACCTTTCGAGAATTGTTCATCAGTAGAGCAAACTTGGCAATATAAAGTAATTAATAGTGGAGTCGGTAGACTAGTGGTTAAGACTACCAGACTCGTAATCACGAGGTTGCGGGTTTGGGGGGTTCGAGCCAAAGGCCCAACGTTTGTGTCCTTGGGAAAGGCACTTTATGCGACTTTTCCTCACTTCACCCAAGTGAGAATGGGTACCCAGCTACAGACAGCGAAAGATCTTGTCAGTATATTAGTTTATGTTAGTGTTTTAGCGCCTATAAATGGCAGCTTGCACTATATGCTTCCCAGGAAATTGAGATTTTTTAGAATGCTATCAGGTCTGCTGGGGTAATGGTAGAGATTGTAAAAGCGCATAGAGCTTGTTGCTGAGGAGGAATTTGCGTTATATAAATGCTATCTATTATAATTAAATTAGTGAGACATGAAACCAAACATGTTTGAACAGAATCTAGGCAAAAACTTACTAAACACTCTTTCCAATGGCAAAAAGGCACAAGGATTTAATTGCACAGAATAAAAGAAATGCATTGATATGATTAAGTAAAACAGACTCTCTCTCTCTCCCTCTCTCTCAGAGCTAAGAACAGACATCACCAAAAAAACAGTATGTACAAAACTAAAACACATAGCACAGTCATACACTCTCCATTTCTACATACACATATACGTATACTGGATAAAGTATAAAATGAGCATCACTAAAGTTTATTTTTTAAAATAAATCTTTTATTCTAGCAAATACTGTTGTAAGCATTACCTTTCCATGATCATGGCTTTCAGCACCATCTAATTTTCTTTAGTGAATCTCCATTGATACAAAAACTTGCAACAAACCACCCCTCCCCCCCCCCCCCCCCCCTCTGTTTCTCCTGTATTAAACTAAAAGAAATCAGAAAAGTTCTAGATCCAAGCTTACTATCTATTTCAAATGGTAGCTCACATAACACCATGCTCCCTTTGTACATGTACTAACAAATGTCACTCTTCCCAACTCTTTCTCTTTCTCAGTCTCTCTCTTTCTCTCTCTCACACATACATAACTCATAATAATAATATACAGTTTGAGTTACTATTAACACACACTCTCTTTCTTTCCCCCTTTCTCTCTCTCACACACACACACACACACAAATAATAATAATAATAATGGATTGCATTTATATAGCGCATATCCACTTATGCAATGCTCTATGCGCTTAACATGATACACATTACACAACCACTCTATGGCTCCCCCCCCCCCCTCTCCCTCTCTCTCTCTCACTCACACAACAACACACTCTCAGCCTCTCCCCTCTCTCTCTCTCTCTCACACGCACACCTTGACACACACACACACCCCCACACACACACACATACACCCACACACACACACAAAACCCTCTAACTGATCTCCCCTGTAGCAGTAGGACTAGACCGGTGGTGCGGCGGCTGTGAGTGGGAGAAGGACTTGAGGGTGGCCACAAACAGCCCGTACAGCACCAGCAGGAGGACAGAGAGCAGCACGAAGCCCGACGGCCCCAGGCCCAGGAAGAACGTCTGAAGCACATACACCAGGGCCAGCTGTAGCAGGTGATGGTAGCTGGCCAGGTACCGCAGACTGAGGCGCGGCTGGTCGCTCGGCAGCAACTGTAAGGGAAGAAGACACAAGGCTAGCATCTGCCTTTGTCGCGGCCGCAACCCGTGAATAGCGGCCGTGATTTTTTGCATTCTTTGGTCGGCGAATCACGGCCGCGATTTTGGCATTTTTTAAAAATCCCCCCCCCCCCCCCCCAAAAAAAAGAACACCGCAGAGAAATAAAAATATTTTAAAAACCCAAAAAAACGGAATAAATACCGAAAGGCAAAAAAAAAAAAAAAAAGAAAAGAAGAAACCGAACCTCTTTACTTTTAGAAAGAAAGTTTATTTTCACTTCAGCTTCACTTCGTCTTTCTCACCTGTTGACACCATGTTAATTTGTTATTTTCATGCGAAAAAAAAATCAGTGCATTACATACTATTTATATTGCTGTTTCTCTTTTATTTTTCCCTCTTTGTTGTGTTTTAATTAGTTTGCCTGTTCATTTCTTTTTTCTTATTATTGTTGTTTTGACGTGTTGATTTTATGTTTATTTATTTGTGTTTATATAGCGTGTAATGTCATTTAACTTGATGTTGTTCCTACCTTTTTAAAAAAATATAAACGTGTTATGTTAGAGCGTGTCTCCACCAAAACCGAATACTGACACTGGCAGGCCCCTTGTGTGTGATTCCATAATTTACATGTAATATCCTGTACTTTTTCTTGAATTACGCACTTTTAGGGTTAAAACGGCCAATCTTTGGATAGGTGGACACATGCCCTATTTGTTCATTTTTGTGGGGGGTTTTATGTGCTGTTCTTATTTTCATTTAATTCTGTTGTGAAACCTTTATTTTTCACGTTTTTACACTCTGTGTGGCTGTGTGGCTACACATGATATTCTGGAGGCTTAAAACAGAGCACAAGAAATTCTGGGGCTTTAGATGAAGTTACCTCTATCAACATATTGCTATAAAACGTCATCACAGAGAGCTGAAAGCTTGAAAATTAATGGCAACTTTTATGGCAACTTTTGGCAACTTTTAAACCAAAAAATGGCAACAAACGCAGATGTTAGACAAGGCAACACACAGTGACAGCCATTTTGGTCTTTCACGGAGACCGCTAGCAAAATCTTTTATTCAGGGAGATACAGAAAAAAAATAAGCGCATACACATTGAAACAATTTGGACTTTTCACTGAGAACGTTAGCAAAATCTCTTAGTCAAAGCCTCTACTATCTGTAGTTAGAGAAAATGCTGGCAGAGGCAACTGTAGGGGAAGAAGATACAAGGTTTGCAACACACAGTCAGCCACTGAGATAGTTACCAAAATCTCTTATTCAGGGAGATACAGAGAGAAAAAAAACCTACAAAAACAGGGAGACAATTTGGTCTTTCACTGAGGACTGTTAGGGAAATGTCTTATTCAGGGAGATAAAGAGAAGAAAAATGCACATACACAGTGAGACAATTTGATCTTTCACCAAAGATCGTTAGCGAAATCTCTTATTCAAAGCCTAAACTATCTGCCGTGAGAGAAAATGCTGACTGAGGCAACTGTAAACGAAGATACATGGTAACGCACAGTGTAAACCATTTTGGATTTTCACTGAGTTCGCTAACACAATCTCCAATTCAAACCCTCGAGTATTATGTTTTAGTGAGTTTTACAGCACTAGCAACACAATTAGATCACAAGCATGCCAAAGATTAGAGGTGTTACAAAGAGAGTAACAAACACAAAATTGAAGGAGACAAGATATGGACAATAGATGTTTGAAAGGAAAGAAGAAAACAAACCACACCAGAGTACCCAATAACCATCCACCACAGCCTCTACTATCTGCAGCAAGATAATGCTGCCTGAGGAAACTGTAAGGGAGGATACAGGGTAACACACAGGTGTGTGAGCCATTTTGGTTTTTCACCGAGATTGCCAGCAAAATCTTGTATTCAGGGAGATAATAGAGAAAAAAACACACAAAAAACCCAGAAAGTCATTTTGGTCTCCACCCCCAGCTCATAAGAAACAAAGACCATGGACCAAAGCAACGATAAGACTAATGGAGGGACTGAAATTGAAAAGGAAATACAGCCCATATATCCTTTATGATACCTTTCATCAAAAAAGAACTGCGGTATCCATCCCACCCCATGCTCCCTTTGTACATGTACTAACAAATGTCACTCTTCCCAACTCTTTCTCTTTCTCAGTCTCTCTCTTTCTCTCTCTCACACATACATAACTCATAATAATAATATACAGTTTGAGTTACTATTAACACACACTCTCAGCCTCTCCCCCTCTCTCTCTCTCACACACACACACACACACAAATAATAATAATAATAATGGATTGCATTTATATAGCGCATATCCACTTATGCAATGCTCTATGCGCTTAACATGATACACATTACACAACCACTCTATGGC